GGCTGCTGTTCTGTTTCCATTCATTCTGGCCCAGGACACAGGACAGTTATTCTGGTGCAAACTGTCACGTATTTAATCTTCCGGTGAGCTCACTGTATGTCACTGTGGGCCTGTTCCAAGCCTCTCCTGCAGAACCCATTCCATGGTGCAGCCCTGTAGGGCATGCAGTGATGCTGATGACTTGGTGGCCCTTTGCTGAGCCCTGTGACTTTGCTGCAGTTCACTGGACAGTAAAATGAGGCCCAGGTGCAGGCAGTGGGCTCTGTAACTGATCTGCTCGTGAAATGCTCTTTGGCTGGAAATCTGGGGGGATTTGTGTAGATGACCAGATTTTACTGGCAGCTTAGGCTGAGTCCTCTCTGCGCTGGGTATCTCAGCATTGCTGTAGGGTCTCATCTGCTCCAGCTTTACAGGACAAATTTGTACCTGCCTGTTGCAGGGTGCAGCCTGAGACCTGCCTGTGGGTTCAAGGGAAGCTGTGACACTGCAGCCACACCACTGCTGCCTTCCCTGGGGACCCAGGAAGGGTGTCAATGGACAGCCGGGATCACCCAGCCCTGCCTGACGAGGTACAACCTCCACAGGCACCAGTCCTTCCGTTCTGCGGTGTCACAGTTAAGCAGTTACCTGCACAGGGGATCTGGCTTTGCAAAAGGCCAAAATGGCTCCAAGATGGGAAGAGTAAAGATGCTCCTAACATGGGGTACACAGTGCTGAGGTCATGACAGTGCTACCCAGGGAGGTGCAAACTTTGCTTTACCTGTAACATTCAAATTACACCAGTGTTAATAAGAGAATAATTTGAACCGGACTGTGAGCAAAAGTGTCATTGAAACAACTCTGGAAGTGTGGGAGAAGGGAGAAAGGAGGGAGGAGGAAGTCTGCTGAAACAGGCTTTGCTATGGCAGAAAGTGTAAGAGGGAAGGGGGTTCCCTTACAGACGGGTGGCTGAAAACAACCATTATTTGTTTGAGTTTAGTCCTGGGATGCTGCTGTGAGCGCACGAGGTCTCTGTCCCCCTGTACGTGCTGGGTCTGTTGCAGTGCCAGAGCCCCCCAGGACTGTTGGAACAGTGGGAGGCTTTGTTGAACAGTGCCTGTAAAATTCTAAAGGATTTGTCAGCATTGGGTATCTCAGTTCTGGGTCAGAACATTACCGGATGTCCAGCAATCGTGATCTGAATGGGTGGAACATGGGTTTTTCCCTTGCTGTGAGTTTTTGAAAGCCTAGAACGCTGCACACTGCATTTGCTGTGCATTTGGTGTGTGGCAGAAGGAGGGGACAGCTTCCTTGGCAGGAGCTGTGCCCACACTCTGTACATTGCGTGATGGAAAACACATTGTCGCGTGTGTCCTGTTGGATTCGCCTCCTCGTGCCGTGCCCGTGCTCACGCGCGCAGCAGCTGGGAGAGCTCTGCTCTGCCTTTGCCTTCTTGCAATGGAAATGCATTATCCAGTTGAGTTATGAATTAAAGATCAAGGGCAAATCTGGATAATGCTTTACTATGTGCCTGTTAATAAGCCCTGCTTTGTGGCACTTGCTCTTTTGCCAGCAGATCCTTTTCCAAGGGAGATTCTCACATTCAGTGTTTCTCTATGCCTCTTCTTCAAAGCGAGGATGTGTTAGGGCTTTGACTCACACATGCTGCTGGACTGCAGCAGACGGGGTGTGCACTGTGTGCAGTTCACACTGCTGGATCAGTGGACAATGTGCTATTTTAGCTCAGTATCATACTTGCTTTGCTCCTTTTGTGGGAACTCGGTTTCCAGGGGTACCTGAGTGATGGGAAGACTGCTCCATCCCAGGAAGGCTCGTAGCTCTGTGTTGGCCCCATGTTTAGCTTGGAGACTGCTGAGGAGAGCTGGCTGTTACAGCAGATGTGGCTGGAGGATCCTTGGGTGGCACCTTCAAACCATTTCTGATCCAAAGCGGAAGCCTAGAGCTGGGAGTATGGGTTTTCTTTCTTCCTTTTCTGTGTGAATTATTGTGTGTAAAATCCACCCAGAGTGATGAAAGTTCCCATGTGGCTTTTTAGCTGAAATCTTCTGTCCAAAATCCAACTTAGATTGCTTTTTTCTTCTTTCCAGAATTACTCCTTCAGTTTCTGGTACTTCCAATTGGTGCTGCTTGGAGCTCCTCAGCGTCTGCATGGAGTTGCTAAATGCTGATAAACAGCTTCCTATTGCTCATGACAAGTGGGCGACTCGATCGTATTTATAGGTTGTGTATTCATATGCAGGATGGAAGGGAGGTGCACACACAGCCTTGCTACTACACACCTCGCTGGGTACTCCCCTTGCTTTCTAACACTCACCGCTGCCTCTTTTGGGACGCCTTTTTTTAGCACCCACGGAACGCAGTGGAGTCAGTTGTGCCATGATTCCTAATTTAGCACTTTGACATGAGGAGTGACCTCAGCCCTGGGAATGATGTCACGTCACTGGTGCACCGGGTGTAAGGATAGCTCTGCTCTGACTTTGGAGGCTGAATATTCCCCTCGCTGTGCTGGAGGTAGTACAGCATCTGTTCACCTTCCCCTCCACGGGAGCTGCTTCCCTTTCCCAAAGGAGCCGCAGAGCTCTGCAATGGAGCTGCGTGGGAGCTGCGGCTGCACGGTCCTGATGTGCCTTACCTGTGGGGCACAGAGTGTTTCGGTTTCCCTCTCCTGCAGCTGCAACACTGATGGATTTGGGCAACGGCTTGTACTGAGCTGGGAAGCATTATGGGATGCTTTTATTACTGAAGTAATTCCATCAAAGGAAATTATGTTACAGTAAAATGATGGGAACGTCCTGTGTAAAGAAATAAAAGCAGGTGTTGAATTCCTTTCATTTATTATTTGAAAAGTGCAGGTCATTTCTAACACTGTTGTGATCAAAATTCCACAGGTTTTGTTCTTTTCAAAGGGTTATAATTTTTAAACAGACTTGGAGCTTCAATCTGGCAGCATCAGCCCCTCACACGGTGTCAGGATGCTGCACACAAGCTCATCAGGAGTCACAGGTTTTATATGACCTCCCATCTGCACATTAGAGGTACATTAGGTTTCCACTCAGGCCTCAAGCCTTCTGCCAGGTTGTTCTTTGCCTCGTGGTTTGGATCATGACCATTCCGTGGGCTCGCAAGGGGTGTATTTGAACAAGGATCAGTTTTTACTGGGCAGATCCTTCAAGCCCTGCCAGTTGTGGCATCCCTGGCTTTATGAAAACTGATACACATATTATCACAGGATGTTAACTAGCATTAATACGTTCAGGATTTGAAAAGCTGGTGCGATGCTCCTTGCTTTGAACGGGGCAGCACCAGGGAGCTGAGCTCTCAAAGGAAGCCAGTGTTTCACCACTCATTGTAGGTGTTAAAGCCCCTCATTGACCATACCCCTGAGGTCAAACTCCAGGGTGTGATTGACTGTTCCACTCTCACATTTGAATTTGAAAAGTCTGCGAGAGTAAAAATTACTGTTTTCCTGCCTTAGCATTAAAAGTTGTACTTGTGGCACCAGCAGGTTGTGTTCACTGTTACTCTTTTTAATTATGGCCATGTTTTCAGAAGAATCTCACAGAAGTATCTGCAACTTCAGCAGTCAGCAAAGCCAGGCTGCACACAGGGGCTTCCTCACATGCAGATTTCACTCTGAAGCTGCCCCTCCAGCTGTTGGTTAGGGTTTGAGTGAAACGCTTGTATTTATTATAGAATCACAGGATCCCAGACTGGTTTGTGTTGAAGGGACCTTAAAGCTCCTCCAGCTCCAACCCTGCCATGGGCAGGGACCCCTTCCACTAGAGCAGCTTGCTCCAAGCCCCTGTGTCCAACCTGGCCTTGAACACTGCCAGGGATGGGGCAGCCACAGCTTCTCTGGGCACCCTGTGCCAGCGCCTCAGCACCCTCACAAGGAAGAGCTTCTGCCTAAGAGCTCATCTCAGTCTCCCCTCGGGCAGGTTAAAGCCATTCCCCTTGGCCTGTCCCTACAGGCCCTTGTCCAAAGCCCCTCTCCAGGTTTCCTGCAGCCCCTTCAGGCACTGGAGCTGCTCTCAGGTCTCCCCTTCAGGAGCCTTCTCTTCTCCAGCTGCCCCAGCCCAGCTCTCCCAGCCTGGCTCCAGAGCAGAGCTGCTCCAGCCCTCGCAGCAGCTCCGTGGCCTTCTCTGAACTGCTCGAGCAGCTCCATCTTTATCACCGCGGGTAACCTGGTTCTGCCGGAACCGGAGCGTGTGGACGCAGAGCTGGGCTGTGCGGTGCGGTTGTGACCGGCTGCGGGGCCGAGGCGGGCGCGATGCGGGGAGCCCCTCACCGCGCCTCACGGCTTCCTTCCGGCGGCGGCTCTGTGCCTCCCGGCCCGGGGCTGCGCCGTTACCGGCCGGGTCCCGGCGCCGCCGCCCGCGCTCCCCGGTTCCGCTCCGCTCCGCTCCCGCTCGGAGCCGCCGGGACGGTTCTGCGCGATCGCCCAAAGCCGCCAGGTGGCGCTGCCGGCGCGCGCAGGGCCGGGGGCCGCGCCGGGCTCCGACCGCTCCCCCCCCCCCCCGGTCCCCAGCTCCCGTCAGAGCGCACGGAGGTGCGGGACCGCTCCCGCCGCGCCCCCGCACCGGCTCTCGGAGGGCTCCGACCCTCGCCGGGGACATGCGGAGCGCCAGCAGCGGGGGGAGCCCACGGTCCTGCCCCACAGCCACGGGCGGGCGCGCTGGGAGCCCCCTCCCGCCGGGATCCCCCGCCCCGCCCGCCCGCGTCGCCGGCTGAGACCGCGGCGGTGGCTGCGCGGAGCCGGCAAAGGCACGTCCGGGCTGCGGGCGGGCGGGGGACGGGCGCTGGCGGCCGGAGCGGGCGGAGCGGAGCGGGACGAACTTCACCCGAAGTGAGCGGGGCGGCCGCGGCCAGGCGCTGTCTCGGTGCTGGCGCTGTCCGCGGGCTGCCCCCGGCGCTCGCCCGGTCCCGGCCCGACTCCTTTAAGATGATGCAATCGGCATCGCCCGCCGCGCTCCCGGCCCCGCGCCGCTGAGCGGAGCCGAGCAGAGCCCCGCAGCGCCGGCAGCGGGAGCGGACCCCGGCGGAGCGGCCCCGGCCGCGGTGGCCCCGGCGGAGCGATGGCTGTGCCGCCCGCCGCGGAGCCGCCGGAGCCCCGCAGCCCTTAGCGCCGGCTGCGGGGTTTCTGCAAGTCATCTGAGGCTGCCGGAACGCGCGCCCCCCCGGCCCGAGCTCCCCGAGCCCCGTCTGATTCACTCGGGGGTCGTTGCGGGGTTTTTTCTTGCTCTCCCCATCGTGCTGTGTGCTTTGGTCTCTGTCGTCACCTGCCACGGTTAACTTGTGAGTCGGGTTAACTCTTGAGACCTCCACGGATGTTGCTAAGAGCACTTTTCCTGCCTTTGCTGTCCCTTGCTGGGATCGGATTTCGTACTCGCTGGACTCTGTGTGCCTGTCTGTGTGTTCTGAGTGTCTTGAGATTTTGCTTTCCTTTCCAAGAGCTGTGCATTGACTGTGACCAAGGTAAGGCTCGCTGTTCTTGTTCCCTCATGTGCATGTCTAAATGAGATGTTTCCTTAAAGATGAAGTATGTATTTTCCTTTAATCGGTGGAGTCATATGTGGTCCTTCCCTTGATTAGTGCTTGTGAAAAAGCAGTGTAGAACTTGCAAGATGCCAGACCCATTTAGCAGGAGACCTGGCTTGGCTTTCTAAACCGAGCTGCTTTTCTCTGGTGCAGCTTCTGTGATGCTTAAAAGGGTAATTTGTGTCCTGTGTTGTTTTCCCTTTTGACAGACCCATGAAGGACCATAGGCTTGGCTTGACCTTGATTTTGATGGCTTTGTTGGAAGATGTAATGATGTGATCGCGTTTTGTGAAGTGATTGCTCTCCAGCCTCTGTGGCTTAGGGTAGAAGCCACTTCTGCCTCCCTGTCACTCATGGACAGTTTGGGTTTTTTTTGAACAAACCTTTTGGCTGTTTTTCTTTTCTCACTTCCCCTTTGCCCCCTGTTTCTCCTCAGTGTTGGAAGCTTTATTCTACCCTTTAATGTGATTGATAGTCCTGCTGCTTCCTGCTGCTGATTTCTGTTTTGAAGTACAATGGCTCTGAGTGGCAACTGCAGGACTTACCTTCCTTCTCGAGAGCAGGGGTCGGGGCTGCACTCCTTCCCAGAGGTCGTGGAGCTAAATGTGGGTGGCCAGGTTTACTTCACTCGCCATTCCACCTTGGTTGGCACCCCTCACTCCCTGCTCTGGAAGATGTTCACCCCAAAGAGAGACACGGCCAATGATCTGGCCAAGGACTCCAAGGGAAGATTCTTCATCGACAGAGACGGTTTCCTTTTCCGCTACATTCTGGACTATCTCAGGGACAAGCAAGTGGTTCTGCCTGACCACTTCCCAGAGAAGGGCAGGCTCAAGAGGGAGGCTGAGTACTTCCAGCTCCCAGACTTGGTCAAACTCCTGACTCCCGATGACAAGCAGCAAAGCCCTGATGATTTTTGCCACAGTGACTATGAAGAGGTCTCCCAAGGCAGTGACACAAGAATATGCCCACCCTCGTCGCTCTTACCGCCTGATCGCAAGTGGGGATTCATTACCATCGGGTACCGGGGGTCCTGCATTGTGGGCAGGGAGAGCCAAGCAGATGCCAAATTCAGGAGGGTCCCAAGGATTTTGGTTTGTGGAAGGATTGCTCTGGTCAAAGAGGTCTTTGGAGAAAGTTTGAATGAAAGCAGAGACCCAGACAGGGCTCCAGAGAGGTACACCTCCCGGTTCTATCTCAAGTTCAAGCACCTGGAAAGGGCTTTCGACATGTTATCTGAGTGTGGATTCCACATGGTGGCCTGTAACTCCTCGGTGACAGCTTCCTTTGTCAACCAGTACACAGATGACAAGGTCTGGTCCAGCTACACCGAATATGTCTTCTACCGTAAGTACAAGCCATTGCTGAGGGGAATACGACCTGCTTTAAGCTGCTGCCTTCTGTTGGCCGTGCAGTTCTCAAAGCCCAGAGTGCAAATTGCCTCCTGCCTGCCGCGCTCTGAGGCTCATTGGGGTCTGGGGATACGCTTCAGGTTAAGCTTTCGCAGTGTAAGGCAAGGCCGAGCCCGGTGGCTTGGTCCTGGCTAGGTGGCAGCACAGACTGCCAGAAGCGCCCAGCCCTGTGGCTGGAGGGTGCTGCTGCCTCCGGCGGTGTAAATCACGCCTCTGACTGCCCCGCACGCTCTCGAGGCGGCGCGGGATGGAGCCTGAGCCTTGCGAAGACACTGCAGAGTTAATTACAGAAAGTCTTCAGATGGGATTCCATTTACAAAGGTAATGGCTGCTTGGTAATAGTCAGGCGCAGTCAGCCAAGCCATCTGTCAGCAAAGCTGACACACTTGCCCGCAGGGAAGGGAAAACAAAGTCCCGTCCCTGGCTGCTTTTCCACAGGGAGCCTCCTCGGAGCCAGCCGGTGTGCTCTGGAATGAGGGCTCGGAACAGAAGGATGCGGTTGCTGTGCCGTGTTATGCAACATGCCTGTGAGAACCAAACTGGCCTCGGAATGGGAAGTGCCTGCCCTGCTTCCCGCAGTCACAGCGGATCGTATGCTGTTGTGGTGATTCCACCTGATAGCTCTGGCAGGCTCATTAACTTCCTAAGTTGCTGTTCAGGTGGAGGCACCGTTACTAATGGTAACTCCAGGGTAATTTTGATTCTATAATTCCATACCAGAACGTCATTCCACAACTGCTGTGCTTAAATATTTGAGAGGCTCATGCGGCTCTTCCTCCATTTTCACTTCGGGAGGGAGAAGGATGGGGCATTTCCCAGCCCGTTGGTAGAAATGGGCTTCAGGCAGCAGCTGCATTGGCAGCGGGGCTGGGGAAGGTGATGCTCTGCCATGGGCACTGTGTGCGAGGCTCACTGGGACCAGGTTGGTACCAAGGAGAGATGGCAAAAGTTTGGGATGAAAGATGTATTGGGAAGTGAACAGTTTGTGTGTGATACCGGAGTCAGCACCATCTACTCTGGTGTCGGGGCTCAACAGGCAGCCCTGATCTGCTTATGTAATGGTGCTTAAGTTAGCATCCTGAAGCCATCTGTATTTCTGACGTGCATAGATTTACTTAAAATTAGTTTTCTAGCTGGATTTCTTAGCAAAATGGTTCTAAGGTCATGGATTCGCTTACATTCCAACAGGGATGGATGAGTTCTGTTATTAGGCTTCTTCTGCTTGAAATCGCAGTGTCTTGTACAAGTTTTAGGAGGAGAATTACTGTAGTTAAAGGAATGGATTAGGATAAATTGTGTTAGCATTTATATATAAAAATCAGAAAAACAGATGAGTTCCTTATGGGCACCAGGGTTTGCTCATTGAAGGGGGATGGAAGGGGGGTTTGCATGAGTCAGCAAACACAGGCTCCATTTGTGTGTTACTCAAATTCCTACCCTTAGGGATTGCTCCCACATCGCTCCAGCTAGGGCCGGGTACCCAGAGGTGCCTTGGGAGCATTGGAGAGCGGAAGTCTACAGTAGGTGTCACAAATCTTCTCTCACTAGTGCAGGGGAAGCCCGATCCAATTCAGGTTCCTGGAAACCCTTACCCTGGCTTTGCGTTTGGCTCATGCCAGTTCTGTGGACTTCTGACACTGCTGCAGTTTCAGAGATGGGTTTTCCAAAGGGTCCTTCCCCAGGTAAAAGCGAAAGCAGCGACCATGATGCCAAACCACTCTCTTAGCTCTATGCTCCTCACTCTGTTGCGCTCTGTGCCATGGCTGCTGGCTCTGAAGCTGCTGGTGGGCTGCCGAGGTTCTCCAGCCGCGTGCCCGGGGTCTGGCTGCAGCCTGAGAGCCGGCACAGAATGCTCTGGGAGGGAAAGAGCCCCCTTCCCAAGTTTCCAATGTCAGTTCATACCAAATTTCCCCAGATCATGTCATTTGGAACTTTGAGGACCAATAAAATTGACATCTGGTTTTCTGGTGGCATTACATCTTCTCTGCAGCTGCTTAGCCATAGTTACTTAATTAGAAGCTGCCAACTGTGTCTACAGAAGCATTAATTCATCAGGCTGTTGTGAGCAGGTTAATGGGCCTAAGCATGGGAGGTGTCTTATCCAAGTGGTTAGGCAGATGCAGACTCACTCCTGTGAGATGCATGGCCAGAGGGAGTCTTCAGAGATGGGAAAGGAAGGAGAAGGAGGAGGAAGAGAGAGAGGAAGGAGGAATAATAGAGGGAAGAATATATTTCTGAGGCACCAAATACATTGTACAAAAGCTGCTCAGAAGGTAGCTGCCTGCGGTTGGCATGAAGACAAAGAGCATTCTTCATGTGCAGATCCCTCTAAAAGCAGATCAGCTGGTCCAAAGGGGCTGGAACCTGCAGTGGCTCACATGGGTACAGTGTGGGCTGTTAACAGAACGGCACGATGGATGCTGTATGACGCCTTCTCCCCTTGTTCAAATTTAGGTGCTATTAAGGCTAATGGAGCTTCCAGCTCTCTGGGGAGGAGGCTTTCCCGAAGCACAGGGCACGCAGGGAGCCCAGTGCAGGGAACCCACAGCTGTTTTGCGTGGCTGCTGGGAAGGGCTGTGGATGACACTGCAGTCCTCGGAGTGCTGCTCTGCTCCACTGAAGCTTCAAACAGGGTTTGGAGGGAGGCGGTGCTGGTGTGGTACAGCTGAAATCAAACAGTGCTTTGAGGCACGCACAGTTCCTGCGTGGTGGGTGGGCAGGAGGCACAGCCTGGTCCTGCTCACAGGTGGATACGGGTTGAAGAAAGGAGGTGAGGTTCTGCTCAGGCATCTGCTTTCCCTCCACTTTCTCCTATGTCAAAGACATTTACTCAAACTCCATGCTGGCAAAGGCTGCGTTTCAGACTTGAACCATTTTGTGGGTGCTGCCCCCTCCTCTGGTTTGATGATCTTTAAGTAAAACCTCATCTCCAAACACTCTCATTTTTGGAGAGGGTGACAGCCTGTGCTTGGATCTTCGTCTTTACATGTTTCCAACCTTTGCAATGGGATGAATCAAAAGTGTGCACTTGAACATCTGGTAAATGTGGTGCTGGGGGCTGGGGGTGTTAAAGCATATGGGCTGGCTCAGCCTTCTGCAGCCTGGCCCCATTCCTGACGTTGCAGCAGCACACTCCTTTTCACCGCCTCCCATAACCTACAAACCAGCTCCTCTTGCCTCGCTCCAGTCTTGCAGCCTTGCCAGGCTGTGGTGACAGCCCTGCACGTGGATGCTGTGATTGCCAGAAGAGCAAACGAGCAGGTTGGGAATGGAGAAGGCTTTAGCTTCAGAGAGCAGATCAGGGACAGGGCAGGCTGGGTGCTTGTGTCTGTGGAGCAGTGAGGAACCGCATGACATGGCAGTGGGATGGCGTGGGGAAAACAGCACAGCAGCCCGTCTACATAGTGCTACTGCCCCCAAGCCTCTGATGCCATGTCCCTGCTCTCTCTGAGGTCAGTCACTGGTGATGACAATAATTACCTGGAAACAGAATTAATGTTTTCCTATAGGAGGAGAGGGGTTGACAAATTCTCCTTCCGGTTCAGTAGCAGAAAAGAATAGAGGGATTTCAGATAAACTGTTCCTGCCCTTCCTAAGGCCGTGCTTTGAAGTCTGAGCAGGCATGAGGAAATCAGGACAGCCGGTCTGATTTGCTGAAACCTTGCCCTGCGCCGGCCACTTGCATGTCTGCACATGGGGAGCAGCTCAAGCACCTGCAGATGTTGCTGTGAGATGTTCCTGGCTCTGTAGCTCGGAAAGCCCCAGATGAGTGATCAGGCTCTGGCTCCTCAAGGGCATGTGCTGCTGCCTCTGCTCGCACTAGGGACAGTTGTAAATTTGGGCTGCCTCACCGTACTCTTTCAAGGAGGTGCTGGCTGGGAGAGCTTTCCTCTTGCTGGTAGGAGGCTCTTGAAGTAGGTTACTGATTATCCTGGCATAAACAGAAGAATCCTCCTGGGTGGGGATGTGCATCAGGAAGGAGATGTGAAACCCTCTGTGAATGCGCTCTGATGGCCGTCCATCGGACATGTACATCTGGGATGATCCTGGTGTTCTTTAGACAAGATGATCCACTTGGGATTAATGCAGCCAGCCGCAGCCTGTCACTTTGCATGTGTGAACAGAGCTGAAAGATCCCATTCTGATGTACCTACCACTGACTCATAAATTAATTGTGTGGTAGAAATTTGACTAACAAAACCGAATGCTCTTGTACAGTGACACCTACAGCTGTGCTGTCAAATGGGTTACGTGGGGAAGAGGAACATTGCCTGTTCTCCCCTCTCTTTGAACTGGTACTGTCATATGTTCCAGTAGTTGGTTCTGTCTGTTTTTAAATCAGTGGAGACCAAAATGACCCAAAAGTTAACAAAATAATGTCTAATCCAACGGATAATGCAAGCTGTCTTCCCTGCGGACAGGAGATGTTTCTGCTTCCAGGTAATTATTGTCATCATCAGTGACTCTGGTCCATCTTGCCAAACAAAACTCCTCTCACAGGGATGATCATCTGCAGGCGGTGAGGCTGGAACCAGCCAAGTCTGTCAGCACATTCATGTCAGAAGGACCTTGCTCTCAGCTTTGCTGCTCAGACTGGAGCAGCAGCTGAATTCTAACCAGTTTGTCATGGCAGGCTGAAAAGCTGCAGTTTTTGATTAGGGCTATTCCATAGATGAAAAGTGCTGTTATGTATTGGAAGCCAGCAGTGTCAAATCTGACAGGTAGAAAAGTCTAAGAATCTCCATCTCAATGGGTAACTGAAGCAAAACTTGGTTTAAAAGTTGGCTGGATGTAGGGCTCGGAGTTTATTCTATCAGCGTATGAACAGTGATGCTCAGGAGCCGGCAAGGATGGCATTTGGGTACTGGCCTCTGTCTCTCCCCGGTGTTCACACGCAGCTGATTGTTTCATAGCCCTTTGGGTATGATCTTCATT